ATTGGAAAAGGGCAACAAAAATGATAAGGGGTTTGGAACAGCTGCCGTATGAGGAGAGATTAATAAAACCGGGACTTTTTACCTTGGAAAAGAGATGGGAGGGGGATAGAATAGAGTTCTATAAAATCACGACTGGTATGGAGAAAGTAAATAAGTCTTATTTACTCCTCATAATACAAGAACTAAGGAGTCACCATATGAAATTAATAGGCAGCTGGTTTAAAACAAACCAAAGGAAGTATTTTTTCATCCAGCGCACAGTCAACCTGTGGAACTCCCTGCAAGAGGATTCTGTGAAGGCCAAGGCTATAACAGGGTTCAAAAAAGAACTGGATACATTCATGAAGATTAGGTCCATCAATGGCTATTAACCAGGATAGGCAGGGAAGGAAGAGCAGGTTCTGTGTGTCAAGTTGGGAATGGGAGATCGGGGATGGATCACTTGATGATTCCCTGTTCTGTTCACTCCCCCTGTGGCATCTGGCATTGGCCACTGTGGGCAGACAGGACACTGGGCTAGATGGACCTTTGGTCTGATCCAGTCTGGCCGTGCTTATGTTCTGATTCTTAGCCTGTAGGAGGAGACATGTCTCTGTACAGCCTGAGCACATTGGGGGGAAGGACTGGGCCCCCGAGGCACTATTGAGTCACAGAAGTGATGCCAACCTTGCTTAGGCCTGGGACCATCTGTTGTGTGTTTGTACAGCCCCTAGCACGCTGGGTCCTGGACCGCAAATGGGATCTGAGGCGCTACTGCAGTCACCAGCTGGGGTTTCTTCCTCGCGAGTCACTCTGCACCCAGCATAGTCTGCCAGCAACTTCAGCCCTCAAATTCCGCCCCCTCCAACCCCAGCCTGTTTTCTAAACTTTCGAGACTCTCACCCCCTTCCCAGCAGCGGATGGGGAGACAGGAGACGGCTTTTTTAGTACTTAGATGCTGCCTCCCCCCTTCCCACTCCACGGCGCTCTAAGATCAGGCGGGTGCAGGGCAAAGCACTGCAGTCCCTGGTAAAATTGAAAGAATGCCGCAGGTGCCAGGCAGCTCCATTCCCTCTCAGAGGGGCAGCGTGTCTCCCCGCCTTTCCCCCTCCTTGGCACGCCCGGTGGCCTTGAAAAGTCTGCCACGAGTGCCACGGCTCCTGACGCCCAAGGCGAGGCTCCTCAGCGGGTGCCCGCCGGCAACCACAAAGCAATGCCACTGAAGCCAGTGGAGGAGCCGGCCCCAGCAGCACATGAATGCAGCCAAAGTGTCAGTGAGGGAGGGCTGCTTGGAGACAGAGGCCCAGGGAACAGAGGGCTGGGATGAGCTCTACTCCCCTTTGGCGTCTGGAGCCTTATTTTGCTTCCCAGGGTGCAAAGCCCCCCCGCGGGCCAGGGACCCTGCTGTGCTGCTGGATGTGCCTGCTGTGTCCTTCCACCAGCTTTGAGATGCTCACCCCCACTGAAACCTGGGTGTCCCCGGAGCTGTGCCTGGCCGCGCTTTCCAGCCCGGTTGGCATGTGGCTGCTGAAGTTTCTGCCCCTCCCTCTCTCCTCCCAGTGCTGCAGTTCTTCCTCACTGTCCTGATTTCCTGAGCCTAATGAGGCATTAATATTCAGTGAACCTACGGGATCTATTCCTGTCCCGGCGTGACCTGCTTTCCAGGCTGATCGATGAGGTGTGCGTGCCAGCTGCGCTCGCTGGGCCATTTAGCATTTCACAGATAAATCACCATCAAACTGGGGCAGAACCCAGAGCTGACAGGATCTTCCTGGAGCTGGGATGGGGAGGGAGCGGGGGGACCAAAATCAGAACCTGAGAATCAGAGAATCTGCAGCATCAGTTGTGCCTGAATGATTTGAGAATGGAACCCCGCCTTTCTCATCCCGTTACACCCCCCCCACACACACACGCATACACGCACACGCAATGGGACTCCTGTAAAGACAGAATCTTGCCTAGGATGAGTCATAAGAGCATAAGAACGGCCGTACTGGGTCAGACCAAAGGTCCATCTAGCCCAGTGTCCTGTCTGCCCACAGTGGCCAATGCCAGACGCCACAGGGGGAGTGAACAAAACAGGAATCCTCACATGATCCCTCTCCTGTCATCCATTTTCAGCCTCTGACAAACAGAGGCTAGGGACACCCTTCCTACCCACCTTGGCTAATAGCCATTGATGGACCTCACCTCCATGAATTTATCTAGTTCTTTTTTGAACCCTGTTCAAGTTCTGCTCTTCACAACATCCTCCGGCAAGGAGTTCCACAGGTTGACTGTGTGCTGCGTGAAGAAAAACTTCCTTTTGTTTGTTTTCAACCTGCTACTTACTAATTTCATTTGATGCCCCCTAGTTCTTATGTTATGGGAACAAGTCAATAGCTTTTCCTTATTCACTTTTTCAACACCAGTCATGATTTTATAGACCTCCTTCATATCCCCCCTTAGACACCTCTTTTCTAAGTTGAAAAGTCCAAGTCTTTTTAATCTCTCTTCATATGGGACCTGTTCCAAACCCTTAATCATTTTTGTTGCCCTTTTCTGAACCTTTTCCAATGCCAATATATCTTTTTTGAGATGAGGTGACAACATCTGTACACTGTGTTCAAGATGTAGGCGTACTATAGTTTTATCGAAAAGCAATAAGATATTCTCTGTCTTGTTCTCTATCCCTTTTTTAATGATTCATAACATTCTGTTTGCTTTTTTGACTGCCGCTGTGCATTGAGTGGATGCTTTCAGAGAACTATCCACAATGACTCCAAGATCTCTCTCTTGAGTAGTTGTAGCTAAATTAGTCCCCATGATATTGTATGTATAGTTGGGATTATTTTTTCCAATGTGCATTATCAACATTAAATTTCATCTGCCATTTTGTTGCCCAATCACTTAGGGTGTGTCTAGACTACATGCCTCCTTCGACGGAGGCATGGAGATTAGCCAGATCGGAAGAGGGAAATGAAGCCGCGATTAAAATAATCGCGGCTTCATTTGCCCCGATCTGCCGATCAGCTGTTTGTCGGCAGATCGGGGGAGTCTGGACGCGATGCCCCGACAAAGAAGCCTTTCTTCATCGACACAGGTAAGCCTTGCAAAACTATCTTGCAAAACTATCTTGAGCAGTTTGGTATCATCTGTAAATTTTTCCACCTCACTGTTTACCCCTTTTTCCAGTTCATTTATGAATATGTTGAATAGGACTAGCGCAGTACGGACCCTTGGGGGACCCCAATAATCTTACCTTTCTCCATTCTGAAAAATTAACCATTTATTTCTATCCTTTGTTTCCTGTCTTTTAACCAGTTATCAGTCCATGAAAGGTCCTTCCCCTTTATTCCATGGCAACTTACTTTATTTAAGAGCCTTTGGTGAGGGACCTTGTCAAAGGCTTTCTGGAAATCTAAGTACACTATATCCACTGGATCCCCTTTGTGCTCATGTTTGTTGACCTCCTCAAAGAACTCCAATAGATTAGTAAGACATGATTTCTCTTTACAGAAACCATGTTGACTTTTCCCCCAACAAATTATGTTCATTTGTGTGTCTGACAATTTTATTCTTTACTATAGTTTCAACTAATTTGCTCGGTTTTGACTTTAGACTTACCAGTCTGTAATTGCAAGGCTCAACACTAGAGCCCTTTTTAAATATTGGCGTCACATTAGCTATCTTCCAGTCATTAGGTACAGAAGCTGATTTAAAGGATAGGTTACAAACCACAGTTAATAGTTCAGCAATTTCATATCTAAATTCTTTCAGAACTCTTGGGTGAATGCCATCTGGTCCCGATGACTTGTTACTATTAAGTTTATCAATTTGTTCCCAAACCTCCTCTAATGACACCTCAATCTGGGACAGTTCCTCAGATTTGTCACCTAAAAAGAATGGCTCAAGTTTGGGAATCTCCCCAATATCCTCAGCCGTGAAGATCAAAGTAAAGAATTCATTTAGCTTCTCCGCAATGACTTTATCATCTTTGAGTGTTCCTTTGGCATCTCAACTGTCCAGGAGCCCCACCGGTTGTTTAGCAGGCTTCCTGCTTCTGATGTACTTAAAAACATTTTGTTATTACTTCTTGAGTTTTTGGGTAGATGTTCTTCAAACTCCTTTTTAGTTTTTCTTATTATATTTTTACACTTGATTTGACAAAGTTCATGCTGCTTTCTAGTTTCCTCACTAGGATTTAACTTTTAAATGATGCCTTTTTATCTGTCACTGCTTCTTTTATTTGGTTGCTAAGCTACGGTGGCACTCTTTGCTTCTTTTGCTGTGTTTTTAAATTTGGGGTACGCATTTAGGTTAGTCCTCTTTGAAAAGTTTCTGTGCAGCTTGCAGGGATTTTACTTTTGTCGCTGAATCTTTTACTTTCTGTTTAACTAACTCCCTCACACGTGTGCACACACACATGCCCGCACACACACAATGGGACTTATCCTAGGCCAGATTCTGACTTCAGAGGAGTCACTCCCCATGTGGAGCAGTGTAACTGAAGTCAGTGTGTTTACATGCCTGGGGGCAGCCAGTGGAGTTACTTTGCATTTACGCCAGAGGTGATGTGAAAGTGCGTGGGGGAACTCTGGATTTATGCTGCCCTAACTCTCATGACACCAAATTCAGTGCAGTGCACAGCAAGAGGGGGCCAAGAGACCAAGTGTAATCGATTTACACTAAGGATGTTAAATAGTAAGTAATTTACTAGTCAACTAGTTGATGGAATTTTCCATCGATTACTCGACTAGTCAATAGGTACTTCTGCATTCCTCCTTTGAAATGTACAAGAGACCCTGCTGGGGCTCTTGTACATTTCAAAGGAGGAATGCAGAACTCCACATGCAGTTTGGGGCCAGCGGAATGCAATTTGCGTAGCTTTTTCCGATAAAACCTGATAGTGTAGGCCTAGCCTCAAGGGGGGTGGGAAGCTGGCAGGACAAGAGAATGCAGAGACCAGGCTTGGGGAAGGTGGGAATTCACCCCCGTGCAGTCCCCATTCCTGCCCAGCCGAGTGCCCCTTCCATACTCACATCTGGCGCCCGTGCTGGTCCTCCCTGGTGAGCACCCCTTCCTTCTCCATGAGCATTTGCCGGAAGGTCCCCACTTTCTGCCGGATCTCCTCTTCGGCATACCTGTGGCAGAGAGAGAGCGGAGGAGTGAGGGACGCTGTCACCCCGAGGTTGCAAATGTTTCCTGTGAAATGCCAGAGTGACGTAATCATGTCACTCTGCATCCCACAGCCTCTTCCTCCTCAGCCTCCCCTCCTCCTTCCCACTGCTAATCCAGCAGGCTGTGCCAGGCCTCGCCAGATGGAAAATCTCCATTACACCTCCCCCAATTGCAGGGTCCTGCTATACCCTTCCTCCGCTGTCCCCCACTCCCAGCAGTTTCAAGGGGGGGCACATGGCCAAAATAAGGACTTCAGGGCTGGGATCCTGTTAATGTAAAGGGGCCGGATCCTGAGCATAAACTCCCCACTCGGGGGGCATTCAAGGGTGTGCAGGGAGTGTGACAGGGCATGGCTGGAGCAGGCTTGCTCTGGAGACCCTGGGCTGGGGGGGAGCGCTCTCTCTAGGGGAAGTTAGAGCAGTCCTGAGGCTGCCCAGCTCTCTCCGGGGACCCTTAGCTGGCTCCAGGATGCAGCCTGTGAGACACCAAAGGGAGCGTTTCCATGCTGTCTGTCACAGGTGCTTCAGCTCAGCTGCTGCCTCAGTTTCCCCTCTGGTTGGCCCTGTGACCTGTCCAGGAAGGAGTCACTGCCAGGCCCAACACAGAGACATCAACCACAGCCCCCAGTTCCCACATGCCTCTGCATCTCAGTCAGCTCCCCAGGCATCCCCTGCCTCTTGCAGCGCTGAAAGGACAACACAGCCTCCAGGGCCTGCTGCACAAGCCATCTCCTTCCTCCTGCCCCCCAAGTCCTATAGGCCTCCCCTGACCCCTTCCCAGCTGGGCTCTGATAACCAAACCGGGCTAGCTGGCCGGCCCCCAACCCTTCAAGAGCACCCACCTGGATATGCATCCTAACAGATTTGCCCTCCCCTCCCACCTAGATCCCATCACAAAAAGAGAACAGGGCCTCTGAATCCCCTCGGCATCCGAAATAATCTCAGCTTTAGAAAACCGACCCCCCCACCCCAAGCTTGGAGCCTTGCCATTGGCCATCCGTCCCCGTGCCCCCCTCACTTCACCCCACCCCGTCTAAACTTGCCAGAGTCTAGCCCTGAGAGGAACGCTGGCTGAGGGGTTTTCCACACCAGGCGCTCGTCGCCTCATCCCGCAGGCGGGCAGCAGGCAGGGCACCAGGGCTGGCCCTACCATGAGGCGAACTGAGGCGGCCGCATCAGGTGCCAGACTGTGTGTTGGGGGGTGTCATTAGGACCCAGAGTGTAGAAAATTGTGTCTGCTGCTAGTGCATAGGTAGGTAGCAGAGTGGTACCATGGGAGGAGCAGAACAGGAAGAAGGCAGAAGTGAGACCTTTAAGAACATAAGAACATAAGAACGGCCAGACTGGGTCAGACCAAAGGTCCATCCAGCCCAGAGTCCTGTCTGCCAACAGTGGCCAATGCCAGGTGTCCCAGAGGGAGTGAATCTAACAGGTAATGATCAAGCAATCTCTCTCCTGCCATCCATCTCCACCCTCTGACAAACAGAGGCTGGGGACACCATTCCTTGGCTAACAGCCATTTATGGACTTAACTGTCATGAATTTATCTAGTTCTCTCTTAAACCATGTTCTAGTCCTAGCCTTCACCACCTCCTCAGGCAAGGAGTTCCACAGATTGGCTATGTGCTGTGTGAAGAAGAACTTCCTTTTATTTGTTTTAAACCTGCTGCCCACTAGTTTCATTTGGTGCCCCCTAGTTCTTATATTATGGGAACAAGTAAATAACTTTTCCTTATTCACTTTCTCCACACCAGTCATGATTTTATAGACCTCTGTCATATCCCCCCTTAGTCTCCTCTTTTCCAAGCTGAAAAGTCCCAATCTCTTTTAATCTCTCCTCATATGGGACCCGTTCCAAACCCCTCATCATTTTAGTTGCCCTTCTCTGAACCTTTTCTAATGCCAATATATCTTTTTTGAGATGAGGAGACCACATCTGTATGCGATATTCAAGATGTGGGCGTACCATGGATTTATATAAGGGCAATAAGGGTACGTCTACACTACAGTGCTAGTTCGAACTAACTTAGTTCGAATTAGTTAATTCGAACTAAGCTAATTCGAACTAACGCGTCTAGAACTAAAAACTAGTTCGAACTAGCGTTTTGCTAATTCGAACTAGCAAGTCCACATTGAGTGGACTCTGAACAGGGCTTAAGGATGGCCGGAAGCAGTGCCGGCAGGACATAAAAGGAGGACTTAGAGCATGGAGATGCTGTCTCAGGCTAGCC